TATATATGTATATATAAGTATATGTAGTTTTATTTATCTTTTTGCTATTAGAAAGTAACAAGTAAATATTTCGAGTGTAATCGTTCAAGTTTATTAAATCGAAAGAACAATAAGAAATGCAGTAAGAAAGAGAAAAGAAAAAAGAATGTGTCATTTTTCGTATTTCTTTGGTATAAGGAAAAATGTGAATGCGCATGCGCACAAATAGAGAAGTGGCGTTGCGCGGGCCTCGCTGAGATAGCTGGTTGGTGGTGGGAGAACGGTGCGGTGAGCGGGAAAGGTGGGAGTAGAGTGACGGTAAGACGGTGAGGTGCATGCTCCGAGGTGTCGCGCGGTCGACGGTGAAGTGGTGGGGATGTTACTCCGCGCGACAAATGGATCCCGCGGCAGTACGTCGGCGTAGCTCGAGCGGCTCGGAGCTGGTCGGTCCGGTATTAAATTCGTCCTTCGGTCCTTGACCTACGACAAGGCTTATCATCGCGCTAATAGTAAACCAGGCCGTGTTTTAAATAAGAGATTTATCATCCCTCAGTGTGTTACGAGATTGTTTAAGTGTCACGACGGTGGTGTTGAACGTTTGTTGATAACAATTTTCCTTTCTTTTTTTTTTTCTTTCTTTTTATACTCTCATCTTTATCAGAGTGAGTTCAACCCTTTGAGAAAAGCAGGTTCGCGTACATAACCTCATCGATGTTCTTCTCTCGCTACCCCTTGTCCGAGGAGTTGAACACTCGAGTTACGATGTTTTCCATTGATTTTTTACATTTACGAATTTTTCTTTTATTCTTTTGTTATTATCAGTGAAATAATATTGAACATCGAAGTTAAACTAAGTGTGTATAAGCGAAGGTGGTGGAGAAGGAAGAAAAAGAAGAAGAAGAAGAAGAAGATATTAGCATTAGAACCACCTCTGCAATTACCATACCTGTTATCTCATCTGTATTGATACACCATCGTCTTCGTCATTATCACTGTTATCATCGTGGTAACTAGAAGCGCAAGAAAAGCATACATCGTGTGTGTCCACGGCCTAGTGACCTGACCTTGAGTCGGCCCGACCAGGTACAGGTACGTGTTTACTACTTACGTACATAGCTCCAAGGTATTCCTCTCTTTGTGTTATTTATGTGCATATATATGTATATATTTTTTTTTCTTGACGAAAATGAAATAGAAAGAAGACGATTGAAAATTATTCTGTTCTCTTTCCTTTTTTTCTTTTTTTTTTTTAAATCTCCTAGATTCGAAGGTTAGAAATAAAAAACGATAGCTCGTTTTTCGATAACGTTGTCGTATTGAATATCACATTGCTCTTGTGTAAGAAGAGATTTTTAATCTCTTTGTATTTTCAAGGTCTAGGCGAACGTTCCATCATCTATTTAAATATATGTGTTTAAATTATTTATGTCTATCGCGTATTTAAATACGTGTAATGCAAGTAGATTTCATTTTCCTTATAGTTTATTTTTATATTAATTTTCTTCAAGGACAACAATGTGTGTGAACGTAATATTTAATTTTAATTATAATATATCTCGATCGTATTATTTCTATTTCGTATTTTAGATAAAAGAATTTTATCGTTATTTATTATTATTATTATTATTATTTGTTAATTTAAAAATCCTTTTTTTTATACATTCTAACAGCTTTTTATATTGGGTTTGTCATGTTGTTTTATTTCATTTTTGTTACCGTTTAATAATCTGTTTCTCGGGGCTTCTTTGTGTTTGAGTTTTCTACTTAAGTCGGCTTGGGTCTGACTTGACGTGGGGTTTAACTACTGACCAGTAGAAAAACGTTTTCTAACATTATTTACGAAACATCGCTATAGTTGTGACGGCACCAAACAAATGTTACTTTTCTTTTACTCTTCGGTTTTTGCTAATACTCTCTTTAAGAACTTCCAACTAAATGGAGGAAAATGTTTTTAACAATGTCGGAGAGACGTAAAAGATAAATGGATTTGTTGTTCTTCTTGTTTTGTATATTTTTTTTTTTTTTAAATCTTATTTTATTTTATATTTTTTTTATTTTGTTTTAAAGTTTCCATCCTCTCGGAATTGTAAATTATTATTTCCGCCTTTTTATCTCGTATAACTTTTCATCGTTCCCCTCATTCTCCTGTCCCTGTATACATATTTCATTGGAAATCGACATGCGAACGGAAGCTATATAGAAATTAGGTTAAGTTTATCTAATATTTTGTTATTACGAACGGATATATGTCGTCCTAGCCTTTTTTTTTGTTTTTACATATTTTATTTGCTTATATATTTAATGATTAAGGAATATTGTTATATATGTGTATGCATGTATAATGCAGATTTACAACGACAAATTTGGAAGAAAAATAATCTTCGAAACATTTTTCGATGTCTAGAATAGCAAACATTTTATTTTTCTTGTATCTAGATGAAAATGATTCGTATTAGAAAATAAATTTGTTTAATTTTGTAACTTATTAGATTATTTTCAAAATTATCGGCATACACATATATATACAAGGATGAATTGAAAAGTTTTGAGATTACGTGGAAAAATAAAATTGAATTTTGATATTAGATTGAAAACTTTTCGACCAAGTCACAAATTTATATCCGTGTATTATTTCAATTTACGGGTAGAAATATTAAATGTTTTGATTTCGGTGGTAAAAATTACAATTAAAAATAATAGTCGTATCGTAAATGTATCCTCAAAGGAAAAGATGGTCGGATTTGTTGGTTGTTTTTTTAAATTCTTGCAAGTGAGGTCGATATCCAAGACTCGTTTGGCTGACTACTGTCTACTACTACGGCTTACACGTGGAAAAACAAACGTTGAAATTCACTTTATTAGCGCCGTAGGAGCCCCAGTTGTAATTAGAAAGCCCTGGGACGACAACGACAATGACAACGACAACGACAACGACAACGACAATGGTAACGACGTGAAAAAAAGAGGAAAAGGAAGAAGAGTTTCTCCATTTCTTTTACTCTTTTCCTTGAGTTTTCTTTTGTTTTCGACTTATTACGTAAGAAAACTCGACGCTGAGATAAGACTGGTAGTAGTTCGAGTAAATATTAAGCAGACAAGAAAGATATTTCCTGGTTAGCATTCGTACAAATATTTTTTCACGTTGCATTTTTACTAGGAAATATGTTTATTATTTAATTAAATACCTAAAATTATTTAAACATTAATATTAGTATTTTCAAATAAATTATTGATATATTTAGAATATAATATTATATAATATTGAATGGTTTGTTTTCGAACACCCAGTATATAATTCGTGTATAATAATTACTGCAATACAAGTAGAGTGCATTAGTGCATTAAAATAATTGTTAAATAATCAAAAGTAATGTGTATTGTTGTTTAAAAACACCGAGTATATGATCGGAGCACCGTCCTCTACAAAATTCACCTTCAGACTGACACGTTGATCTTCTATTAAAATACTTTTATTCAATGTTGCTTATATGACTTTCTGAATGTGACGCATGTGCATAATGAAAATAATTCATCTAATTAATAGAATTTAAGATTATAACGTTCTAATTTTATCATTTTTTGATTCTAACCTAATTATTTTATCGCTCCTGCACAGTGGTGACTACGGTGGTCAAATTTTGCTGTAATGTAAGTGAATGTATTAAAATATTAAAATAATTGTTAATTAATTTAAATGAACGTGTATTGTTGTTTAAATGTACGGAATATATGTCAGGAGTACCGTTCTCTTCGAGATTCACTTTCAGACTGGCACGTTAACCCCTATAAATGTAATTTTATTCAATGTTGCTTATATGACCTTTCGAACATTACACATGCGTAAAAATACTAAAATTAGATCGTTATAATCTTAAATTTTCTTGATTAGGAATATTATTACCGTTGCACACATGCGCAACGTTCGGAAAATCATTTAAACAACACTGCATAAAAGTATTTTGATAGAAGACCAACGTGTGTGTTAGTCTGAAGGTGAATTTCGAGGAGGACGGTGCTCCTGACATATATTCCCAGCATTTAAACAACTATACACGTTTCTTTCGATTAATTAACAATTATTTTAATGCACTAATGCATTCTACTTGTATTACAGTAATTATTATACACGAATTATATACTGGGTGTACGAAAAAAAACTATTCAATATTCATATTCTATATAGAATTCACTGTAGTGGGTAAACAAGTTTTTTTTTTAAACATTGGTCGAAAATTTAACCATTTCTGAGCTTTAAATATATAGTTAGATAGATAGATAGACGGATGGATGGGTAGATAGGACGATAGATAAAAAAAAAAAAAAAAGAAATGAGAATTGAAATTGCGACCAGTCGAAAACGTGTGACTCTTTGACCTTTGTGTCTATCGGTCATTTCTCTCTTCGTTTTTTTTATTCTTTATCTCATTCTTTTTTTTTTTTTTTAATTAATTTTTTCTTTCATTTATTCAAACAAAAAATTCCTAGATAGGTCAAAAGTCGCGAGATTGTTTGAAACATCAATCGGTTTTTCTTATTTTCTTTTTGAGATATTTTAAGAAATTTCTTTTTTTTTTCCCCCCGTTCAGATCGTAAAATTTTTTAAGCTAAGCTCGTAAAATTACATCTTTAATAGGGAGCTTGTAAAGTTGAAAAAAAAAACAAAAAGAAAACAAAGTGTAGTAATTGATTTGAAAAAAAAAAGAAAAAAGAAAAAATCAGATTGGAACTTTTGGGCCACCCTGTAATTTCTATATCTCTTTCTCTCTCATTCTTTTTCGAGAGCTCTCACGAATGGGTCGAAGAGGAATTCGATTAAAGCCACATTTGCATTTCATGCGGCCGTTTTTCTTACGATGCAAAATGCATTTTATTAAGTTTTTCTCTCCTCGACGTTTTCTGTTTGTACCATTTTTTGAACTAATATTATTTTTCTCCTCCATCCCTTTTCCCTCCCTTTTCCCTCTCTCTCTCTCTCTCTTTCCCTTTTCTTCTTCCTGGCAGTGAAACGATACGGTGGTTAGTTTCTTTTTTTTTATTGTTGTTGTTGTTGTTGTTTTTCTTCTTCTTTTTCTTCCTCCTCATACTCGTACATCGTAAAATTACTGGTAACACTGTAAAACTTCGTCACGTGACTTACACGAGAAAGATAGTGCCAATGAAGAAAGTTTAACGAAAAAAAAAAAAAAAAAGAAAAAGAATATAAAAACAAAATGTAGGCTCTCTTTGGATTATCGTGTAAATTAACATAAAGATGTTGTTTCTTTAGGTTAACAATGTTTTATTTCAAAGATTGAAAAATCGATTTAGAAAGGTGTTTATTTTATTTTAACATTCAAAGAGAGTTTGCAATTATAAGAAGACATTGGTAGAAGTTAAAAAAAAAAAAAAAGAAACGTTTAAAAATATCGGTAAATGTTTAAAATAAAATTAAATAGTTTCATTTTAATCTTAATTATCGTTGCATCTATTATTTATTCTTCGTTAATTAAAAACGATAAAGTTAAGAATAAAATTGTAAGAACAATAATAATAATAATAAAAAAAATAAATGTTACATATATATATAGTTGAGTGTAGATAAAGTAATTGTTGTAAGAATTTCTCGAAAGCTCAAACGATCATCAGAACAATATGGCGGAACGTTCATTCGTTGGATACGTTAGCTCGTTCGAAGTAGAACTAGGCGATATTTTAACGTTGAAAAATCGTATGGTGTAGTGAGAGAGCATGTAGGTGCAATAAAAGGATTCTTTAAGCAGGTGACAAAGTACGCTTACGTTGCCAGAGGGAATACTACCTATCCATGGCTACTACTAGTTGCCGTGGCTTTGCTAAAAGTACCAGACCAAATAGCCAACGAGCACAAAGTGAACGAGCTTGATGGTTTCTACTCTTTCTCCTTCTTTTTCTTTCTTTCTTTCTTTCTTTCTTTATTTTTCTCTGAAAAGGGCTATTAACTTTTCTTCTATCAAAATTTTTCTTCTCTTATTATTATTATTATTATTATTTGTGCTTTTAACTTAACATATTTTATTTGTTACTTTTTATTTTCCCTAGACACATATATATATGTATATACCATTATGTTA